TCCTCCTTAAGAGACTATTATACTGTTTCTTATAGCCTCTTTAAAGGGTTAACTCCTTTTAGTCGGTTTTCCTCGAAGACCTGCTAGCAGTCTTCTAGCTAATAGGGCTTTTTGCATACTTAGTAGGTAGGTCGATTCCTCCTTATACGTTATTTCTTCGAGGAATCCTCGTCCCGGTCCGGAAGGTCTGCTTAAAAACCCCCCCTTTTTACCCCTTATTACTAATTTTAACGAAGAGGTTCGATTTTAACTAGTTCCCTGATTTTTCGACTAACGGACTAAAAGGTCTATTAGGGGACTAGTCGGGCCGGTCTAACTAACGGGACCGGGGCCGGGCCCGGAGTAAGATACGGAGCCGGGAACGGGCCTAGGGCCGCAGCTGTAGTTAACGACGGCGTTAAGGCTCTCGAGGGAGGAGGAGCTAAAGGAGTAACAGCCGTAGCAGCAGCAGCGGGGGCCGTAGTAACAGGGGCTATAGCAGCTATAGGTCGAGCCGTCTAGGTCGAGTGCTAGCTATAAAGGAATAAGACTGCTTACTATTATACTCTAGTAGCTTCTTTGTCTAGTTCCCGGCTAGCTTCTTAAAAGATAGTCGAGTAACCGTTACTAATAGGCTTTATTAGTAGAGATATATCCTATAGCTACTAGCCGGAAAGAGCTTCTAAGTTAGCCTACCTAAAGTCCGGCATACCCTAATACTAGCACTCTCTATAATACTATCGCGTCGTTAAATATATTATATTGCAACCGCGTTTTCTCGTATATCTCTTGCCCTATAATTATAAAATAAATACTATTTATATTAGCGATACCTCGGCTTTCTAAGTATACCGAAAACCAGCTCTAAGAAGCACTCGAAGCTATTAAAAACGGGATACCTTAGCTTTATACTAGTCGAAAGTAAGGTATTCTAAGAGGGACCCTCTATATACGTCTTAAAGGGGCTCTGCCTATTAAGGAGGCAAAAGAGGCATATTAGAGGCTTAGCCGAGAGCAGGAAAAACACCTTACCGACTAGGTTCTTACCTAGGCCGCCCTTAGGCTGCCTCTAACGTATTATTAGGTTAAAGAATTTACCGGCTATATCGTTAAGGCCGGCGGCGATACCCGTCCGCTTAGAAAGTAGTAGATTTCGGGCTTTTTAGCCCGGAACCTAGAGATTAGTACTATTAAAGGTAGATCTCTCGATTCTACTCGTATTAACGGCGCCTCTATAGCCCGTATCGAGGAATAGTTCTAATTACTTAAGCTACCGGCTATATAGGCAATCCTACCGGAGTCCCGCTTTAATATAGACGAAATAGGCATCCTCGAGGGCCTCGGCTCTAATAGTCTAGTACTAGGGAGCTTAGAGAAGCGAGAGACTCTTAAAAAGCGGCTAGGATCGCGTTATTAAACTATAATAGTCGAATGCGTCTCTACTATAAGCTAGGCCTTAACTCCCCTTATAATTTTTAAGGGTTAAGACCTTTAATACTAATAGTTCCCTAACGAACTTAATTTTCTATAAGATTAAGACTTTATTGCCTCCCTAAAGGGCTAGATAAGTAATACTATCGCTATTTAGTAGCTAAAGTAGGTTTTTATCCCTTAAATAAGGCACTATAAGTAGGGCAATACTCTTCTTATTATTAACGGCTATAGGAGTTATTAGACTAATGATTTTATATATAAATGCTTCTAGAATAGTATATATCTCCTTTTCCTACTATTATACTCCTTATATATCCTCTAACTACTTAATATCTCGGTTTTCTCGCCTATTAAGGCCGTATACCGACGTTAACTTAAGAAAATCGTATCTTTCGATAATATAGCGCTAATTAGTAAGGCTACCTTCCTTTATATCTACTACGAAGCCCGGTAGGCTAGCCTAACCGAAAAGAATATTAAGGGAGGTTAGCGCGGGTCTAGTTTATGGCTAATTAATATAGTAAAGCCCTTATTAAGCCGCTTCGTCTTACCGTAGCCGTTAACGCCGTTAACGCTATTAAAAAGGAAGAATATTAGCTCCCTAGCTAATAACGATGCCCTTAAAACGCCTAAACGATTATAAGAAGTTCGCCGCCTCGTTATAGGGCTAGAAAATCGCGGTTAAGTTAACCGTATAATCCGACTACTCTTTAGTAAAGTTAGCCGCGCCCTTAACAATTAAAATTAGCAGCTTATAGCTGCCTAGCTTCGAATATAATAGCTTAAGTATTAATTGCATCGTCTACGGCCTCGAAAATAGAAAAAGGTTCTATAGGATCCTAATAGCCGGTTTATACGGATTAATTAAGTTATTAAGATAAGGCAGCGGCTCGAGCGTATCCTCGAGCCGGCTGCTATTGCCGTAGCTAATTAAGACGTAGATTTTAAAGCTCTATATAGTAGCTAGCAGCTTAAATAGCTAGAAAACACTATAATTAACTATCGTAACGTTAAAATACGGCTTTAATTACTATTAAAATATGCCTGCCTTAGTATTATAGAGAGTGCCGGTATTAGGGTATGCCGGACTTTAGGTAGGCTGACTTATAAGGAAGTATTAGTTAGCTTCCTCGAGGATTTCTTCCTACTTAGCTAGCTACGAAGAAGCTAGTAGGTTCCTAGTAGAAAAGGCTCCTAGGTATGCCGTATAGGTCTTCCTAATACGGTTAGTTATATAGCCCTTCGAGGGAGCTATCGAGGTCTCGAGCTTTAAAAGCCACTACCTAGGAGTCTCTTCCTCTCGAAGAGAGATTAGCTTTACGGCACTAACGGATTCCGTTATCGCTATACGAGCAGCCGTTAGTAGCTTCGTTTCGTAGAGGTATTCCTTTCGGTGACTCTCGTAGTCGCCTAAGGCAGCAGAAAAAGCTCTCTATTATATAGAGGTTAGTTTAGTAAGAGGGGTAAAAGGGAGCTACGAGGGATATAAGAAGGGTGCCTTTTATAGTAGCTAGAAGGTATAGGAATACTATTCCTCCCGGGCTTATAACTCTCGCGAGGAGAGATACGAGAAGTGTATATAAAATGCACGAAGGTAAAATTAGAAGTAAGGGGTTAGATAGGCAGGGCAGAGGGATTTGATTCTTGTAGGAGCAGCAATAAAGGCAAGGGAGTAATCGTTGTATTGCCTTAATCCTCCTTCTTTCCTCTATCTAACGCCCCTCTTTATACCCGTCTAGCATCTTAATTAATAAAGAAGATCCTACTTAAAGAAGCTACTAATGTCCCTTTAACTACCGAGCTTTTTGCCGGTTTTTCCCCTCCTTTCTAGCCGTTGCCGGCATATCCGTCTTATCTCTCGCTACCTCTATAGGAAGCTATCGCCACTTATGCCCCTACCCTCCTTTCTGCACCTCTTTTTAGCTCCTTCTTCCTTTTTTTATACCGGGTGTTTTTTAGCTTCCTTAGTCCCTCTTGCTAAGGGATATCTCCGAGAACTACGAAATCAGGCCACGCTTCGCGATATTATAATACCCTCGCTATAAGGGAACTTAGTATATATAGCTTATTATTATAGGGCCGGCCGCGTATAATAGTATTAACGTTAGGATTATAGATTTATAGTAATAGCTTCTTAAGGTCTTAATAGTTATAATTAATATTAAAATTTTATAAAAATAGAGGGTGCTTTACTAACGGCTTCTTAAGCTATTATTATAGAGAATATTACGCTTCTTAAGCATTAAACTAGCTTAGAGGCGTTAAAGGATTATATATATATAAAGGAGCCTAAATTTATATTTAAATCGCCCGCTATAAGGTCGTAATAGCTATAGCTTTAACTTTTAAAAGGATATCTTTATTAATAGGGGTTTTAAGACTATTAAGATCTACTAGGTCTTTCTAGCATAACTATATTTAAGCCTAAATATTACTATTAGCGTAATATATATAGAGTTATTATTATAAATAAGGAAAAATATAAAGAAGGGCGTTTTTAAGGGCAGCTTCTTTATCTATAATAACTATAGAGGGCTCTAGTACCTTAACTTATATATAAAGAGTATTAAGGGACTTATATAGCTACTAGTATCCCTCTTCTTTCTTTAAGTTAATAAGGCTAAAGGCAAAGTTAGCTAAGGACTTTTAGTTAATAACTCTTAAGCTAGTAGCGCTTTATATTAAGAAAGGTTCTACTTAAGAGCTTACTAAGTATTAGTCCGCCGGCGATAAATATTATATATAGAGAGATTAAGGGATGCCTATAATTATAGCGATCCTTAGTAACGCGAAAATCCTACTTTTAAGCTTCCCGCTTACTTTCCTTATTACCTTCCTTATTATATAAGGCTATTATAAGGAGGTAAAAAGGATAGTCGAGCTTTTAAGTAAAAGATTTATATAGCTTAGTACTTATAAAAGCTCGTTAAGGGCTATAATTATATATAAAGAGGACTTAAGTTATAAAAGAGACCCTATTAATATCTCGCTTACTAGTACTTAACCTTTTAATAATAGCGGTACTCCTCTTATAAAGGAAGCCTTAGATAAAGTTATATACCTCGTCGTAGGATTTAAAGCCTAGAGAAGGCGGTAAGGGCGGTATTATATCCCTACGTTCTTCGTAGGTATCGTAGGCATTATATAAATCGCCTTAAGGCGGCGTAAGGGCATCGAGGAGAGCGAGAAGAGGATCTATCGCAGCGCTAGTAATAGCTTTAAATTTAGTATATATATATAGGTTATATATATATAGGTTATAAATACGGGTTATATATATATACGGGCGGGCGTAGGCGCGGGTGCGGGCATTTAGGCGGTATAGGTACTTACTAGGCGCGCGCGGTATAAATAGGCGGGGCGGGCTAGCGTTAGTACGTATCTTAAAAATAGGGCGAATATACGGATAGCAATACGTATATATATAGTTAGCAATACTCTAATATAATAGTTATAGATAACTACTTAGCCTACGGACTCTTAGCCTTCGGCTGATCTTACCACCTGCACCACCGCCCCAACGTGCAAGAGATAACGTAGTAATTGAATCAACAGCTTTATTCTTTATATCAAAGTCGCCCGCTAGATCAACTGATTCCCGCAGCCTTCATTCTCTTAAAGCAGTTTCTATAAGCCTCGTGAACCTCGGGCACGCTATACCCATACTCCTTCAGCTTGTTTTCCAGTTTCTTTGAATCTAGCTTACAGTTGCTGCGGCCGGCCTTAATGATCTTAGCCTGCTCAGCCAGTGAAAAGTTTTTCCAAGCAAACTGTGTTCGGACAATCTCTTTAAAGAGGCCTAGCACCTCATTGTGGGAGATGGCACCAGGGTTGGTAAAGTTGTAAACTCCTGTCTCGCCATGCTCGGCCAGCAGAATAGACGCTGGCAAAAGGTCAAAGAGGAGGGTGTTCGAATTTGGGATATCGACGACCCGCTCGTAGCTCGAGATCTTGGTGACAAAGTTACGTGGGTGAAGGTCATCGCTCACGGGCATGCGAAGGCGAAGAATTAGGCAGTTGTCATAACTTTTTAGAATCTGTTGCGTCTGTATTTAGCCAAGATCTGTTCGTCTCTATGAAGGAAGCATGGGGCTTACAGGTTCAACGTGACCCTTTGTCAACGAGTAGAAGCTGTCCTTGAAGTTGGGGGCATCTTCCTCCGTAAAGCCCGGGCCTCCCATGGGGTGGGCCTCGTCATACTGGTAGATGCACCCAGTGGCAAAGACGGTACAGTGAATGCTCATCTGGAAACACATGTCCGCCAACGTCAGTGTCCCGATAGCATTCGAACGCACCGTCTGCGCCTTGTTATCCTCGCACCAGTCAACATTGGGCCGGCCGGTGCAACCGGCACAGTTCAAGACATGTGTCGGCTGGACTCTCTTCAGCTCCTCAGCGACCTTGATGGAGTCCTCCATGCGAATGGTGGTGGTGTGAACCTCCTTGCCCTGCTTCTCAAGGAGGTCCTTCAACTGACCGGCTATCCAGCCATTGCCACCCCAAATGAGAAAGCGGGTCGGTGTGACAGGCATTGTGGGCTGAGGCAAAGCGGAAGAGATGCGTGGTGAAGGGAGTGTAGAGCGCCGGTAGACCAGGGATCACGGCGGCAGAGTTTTAAATACTGAATATGGAGCAACACTGACTGACTCGACCCAGCCGGTCGGTAAGATACTGCCGAAAAGTCCACCTGCTTCGATCTAAGCGCCAAGCCCTGTGCCTGTGTCCTCCCCACTGTAAAGGCGGCCTGAATCAGGTTTCGCCGACTAAGGGCGGGCCGAGAAGGGGTGGAGGTCCAAGGGGGGGTCTGGGATTATTCGGCGTGGATGCGACGGCGTCTGATTCAGTGTCTCGGCTAAAGCTATTCTGTACTGTTCCTGAGAAGCCCGGATGCCCCTGGCGCTCGTACATCTCGGTTCGTTTCATACTACGAGTCATATGCTTCGCTTGTTGGGACGGGATACGCTCGGATTGGATGAACGCATAGCCCAGGTCCAGCCATGTCAGCTAATCCGCGTTACTATGGCCCAAGACGGCCAGCTTGCTAGGAGTCCAGTCAGAATGCACTGGGATTTCTGAATATATTCCGAGAGACACATCTATGCGGAATATGATTATACTATATAACACTGAAACACCCCGTGAAATCAAGGTTCCGATCTAAGATGGTCTAAGCATAGAGTAAGGGAAAATAGCAAAGTTCTGTGTCCCCCATTCCCTTGAAACGCTCCGGTCCCAAGCACAACTCCCTACATATGTGCTCGGGTGCTTACGCTGGTCTCGTTGTCTGGCAACACGACTTTGTCGTCATTCACCATTGGGAATGGCGTCAAGACATGACTGATATCGCCCCACCATGTCTCCCCGAAACGTCGGTACCAGTCAACGGTGGCCTGTAGACCATCGTGGAACGCAGTCTGCGGCTGCCAGCCCAGCTTTCGTAGCTTGGTGGCATCGACTGCGTACCGGCGGTCGTTGAAAGGTCGGTCATTGGAGTACTTTACCCAACCGCCCTTGTCTCCAGGTGCCGCAATACCCATGGCATCCAGCATCTTTCCGCAGAGGTCAAAGTTGGAGATCTCATCAAAGGATCCCACATTGTAGACGTGCCCTATTTGACCCTTGTGGAGAATCGTATCAAAGGCGTCGACCGCGTCGCCAGCGTAAAGATATCGTCGGGTAGGAGAGCCATCCCCGTGAAGGATCATGGGGCGATCCCTATTCAAGAGACAAATGAACTTGGGGATGACCTCTGCATGCGATTGTCAGTACAACTTGCTCCGGGAGAGCACTGGGGATAAACAACTGACTCTCGGGGTATTGGTGTGGCCCATAAACGTTGTTACTTCGAACAATGATGGCCGGAAGGTTAAAGCTCTTTTGGTACGAGCCGATGAGCATCTCCGCAGCTGCCTTGCTAGCAGAGTAGGGGTTGGTTGGGGCCAGAATACTAGACTCGACTAGGTCGTCGTCGTCCTCGTTGACCTCGCCGTAGACCTCATCCGTAGAAACATGGATAAACCGCTTAATGCCAACCTTCTTCGCACTCTCTAGAAGAACATGGGTGCCGTAGATATTGGTGTGAGTAAAGCCATAGGAATTTCCGAAGCTGAGATCCACGTGGGATTGGGCGGCGAAGTGGAAGATGGTGTCGATATTATATCTCTCGAGGCAGTCGAGCACCTCGGACGGGTGCGTGAGGTCGCCCTGGTAGAAGGTGAAATTCCGCTTATCGTTTAGGGCTCGGGTATTATTCATTGACGAGCAGTAGTCAAGCTTGTCAAAGGAGACAATATTATAGGCTTGAGGATACGTCAACGTGAGATGGCGTGCTACCCAGGATGCACTTGGATTTATGACGGTTAGGTTACGTGACTGTCTCGGGGAAACCCGCACTTGATTCAGGCCAACGGGAGGCACTTACATGAAGCCGGCTCCACCGGTGATCATAATGTTCTTGACGTCTGGGAGCGGCTCAAATCGAGTGCTTCCCTTGAGAAGGGGCGCCTTCTTCCAGACGTCGACGTCCGGAAGGCATTTGCTGTGGTCTAGCCACCGCTGGTCAGTTCATGGTCAAGCATCAGTTCTCCAGAGCACATACTCTCGGTCATGGTTTAATGGTAATGATATCAAGTGAAGGCGTTTGTGGTTTGGCACGGATAACGGGAGGGCGGGCTCAGGCAGTTTGGCGAAGAAGAGTGATGGGTGGTGCCACGAGGAGCCTGAAAGGGCTACTCCAGACATATGTAATTGTCCGGATTCCTTGTTCGTAAGCAAACGACCCACTACGGACTGAGTAGGCAAGCTACCTGTAGACCGGCGACTGATTCGTATCATGCTATCGGTGTAATGGGCTATGGGACAGGAACCAGGGCAGGGTCTCACACAGGCCCCGCACGCGCTTTACCAGGGATAGTTCGTATGAAGACGAGAGAGATGGGCGGTAGTGATTCAGGGTTAGGACTTCATGACTGACAGGGCTATGGAATTCGGATGTTGGGCCGTACCGAGAAAGGAAGGTATCTGTACATGCATACACACACACACACCCTTCGCCAGGTGGCTAGCATAGGGTTGTTCGTCAACCTAGTTGCAGGCCTGTCCGGGACTCCGTGCTCGCGCTTGAATGCGCGGCCAAGTCCCAAACACCAGCTTCAGCCATGCACATGTGGATAACCAGACACCTCATGTGTAGACCAGCGGCTAATTACGGACCGGGGTCAAAGAACAAACCTACGCCGACGAGATGGGGTTGATTCATGCCCCTACATGCACCCCCTAGGTGTGCAGAACACGACTTTGCCAAGTGATCAAACTTACTATTTTGTTAGTACCTGTGCATAATACTTGATACAGTGGCTGGAACTAGCGATGGATGCAGGGGCGGACACGAATTTGAAACCGTCTCTTTACCATTCGCTATGACAATTTCCTGGCACGTAATCCGCCATGTCCGTCTGTACAATCATCTTTACTTCTGGGCAATATTTCCAGATGTGCTCTCTCTTCTCCGGCGTGCCCCATATTGAGCCGGATAGGTAATTGGCACCGCCAATATGATAGCCCATGGGCTCGTAATGTCCATCCCTCCAGTCGTCGATTCCCTTGATATACTCGCTAGGACGGCCGACCTTGGGCAGCGAGTGGGATTTGTTATCATGTTGACTACCTGAGGGGCCCAGAACTTGCTCAGGCTCTCCGCTGTTCAATTCGCCGGAAAAGGCCAAGGAGACTGGCCCGCTAGCGACTCGGCCTTGGGGGTGGTGGCCGAGCCGTTCAGAGAGCCAGACGTCCTCGGGCTCAGAGTTTTCGATGCGCTTCTGATTACGGAGTATGTCGATGATGCGGCTCACACGGCGGATGGACAGACCGCCGTTGCCGCCCCAACGTCCCGCAGGGTTCCACGGGGCGCCGACCCAGTCGTACTGGATGTACTCGTCCATGTTGTGCTTACTGTTGGCGCATACCATCGAGTCGGACTGGAAGACGAGTAACATCTCTGCAGGCTGCAGGACCGTCTCGTAGAGCCACAATGTTGTGAGGAAGCGGCTGATCATCTCTTGGCCGGCGGTGCTGAGGTTCGAGGGGATATAGGTGAGGTCGAGCTTCCCGGCGCGGACTTGCTCGCGGATTGCGGCCGACTTGTTCACGTGCGCAACGGAGGCTTGGGAGCCCATGAAGCGGAAGTGCCAGTCCGGTGGTAAGGCATATATGAAGTGCAGCAGCGTAGGGGCGAGAAGCGGCTGCGGCCGGTCTTCGACGAGCAGGGCGACTTTGGACTTGTCCACGGGCGGCTGTGAGGCGTATCCAAAGGTAACCTGGGGGAGGACTACGCCAGATTGTTTGTAGAGCAATGTGACGGTTCTGTTCCCGCCCCTTGTCAGATTCCTCTCGACATTATGCCACGGGGAAGGTGAGCGTACAGAATGAGGGCCAAGACGACGCCGAGGCAGACATTGCGAGGCGACATGAGCCACCGGGTAAGGGCCGGCATGATTTCGTGGTCGTGGAAGAGCTGCGCAAGAGAGGATGGATGGTGTGACAGGACCACGAATGGACGAGTGGGGGAGAGCTGGAGACGACGAGTACTTATCCAACGGTACATCTAGGCATATCTAGGCACATCTAGGAAGCTCAATGCGGGTTACGTATACCCCCCCTCCCCTCCCTCTCATTGTGCCGCCTTGGGGAATGGCCCGCAACACTTGGGCTGCAACGCTTGTAGGCCCCATGGTTGAAGGGCATACGAGTAAGTCTCAGCGAGAAGGCAAGCAAGTGCATCTATGTATCGGATGAGGAGGCCGGCAACGGCAAGGCTTGATCTCGTCCCTGACAAACTTCTTTGCCCATTCCAGGCAAGGCGGAGTGGAGATGGCTGTTCGGCATTTACGTTAAACGCAGCCAATTACTCGTGCCCGCCTCCGCTCAAGTGGATCGAAAAAGGAGGAGCATAATACCTACAAAGAGCCTTGGTATTTCGAGGGGCTCTTCTCTCCTGCTCGGTGCTCCCCATCTCCTTACTTGACGATACCTAGCTCTGGATTTGTCAAAGCTCGTCCCTCTTCTCCTGCGACAAACATGGCTCTAAGCCCGGTCGCCAAAACTCGGGCCTGCATCGTCGCATCGATCATCCTCACGTAAGTTCAGGAGCTTACCAGCGAGCCCTCTTCACATTGCTCACGCGTCGTTAGCTGGTGGGTGGCGTCCTTGCTGCCTCGCTTCAAGCCGGCAGCCACGTCCCAAGTCGCGGCGCCGTGGCGAAGTTTTCCCTCGATAAAGGCCAAATGGGGCAATCATGACACGCCATACAACGCCTCCAAGCTGGCCGTCATTATCGATCCTGAACCGAACCCCCTACTTGTGCCGCTCATCTTGCACATGATGGCCGTGGTGCCCCCCGACTGGCGGTTCCTCTTCATCGGCTCCAAGGCAAGTGTCTTGGCCGTGGGCCGAGGCTTCGGTATCCAGGTTCAGCAGGCTTTTGGCAGGATTGATCTAAAGGAGGTGCCTAAGCCTTGGTCCATTGAGGACGACCACCACCGATCGGCATTATGGACGGATCTACGCTTCTACAATGACGTCATTCCTGGAGTCGAGTGGATATTGAAGTTTGACCGCGATAGCATCCTTTGCTCCAACTCGGAAACAAGTCTGAATGATTGGCTCGACTGGAGTTGGGCTGGAGCTGCCAGGTACGACGATTTCCCTCCCTCCCTTCAGCGCCCTCTTGGCGACGTCGCTGACACGGAAGGGAAACAGGTCCGATGACGGATTCTCCGGACATGGCGGCCTATCGCTGCGGCGCGTCTCTGTAATCAAGCGAGTGCTCGAGTTCCAGAAATGGTTTGATGACTCGGAGCCGGAGGACGATTGGTTCGCAAAGCGCCTAAAGCTATTGCCCGACATCAAGGCTCTCAGCGGCTCTGAGAGGGCGTTCGCCGTCGAGAACAAGTTGGTAGATAAACCGATGGGATATTATGCTCGAGACCGCGGCAGAGGTCTCGACAAGGAGGTTTGGAAGATGCCAGAGACGCGACAGAAGATCTTCGATTACTGCCCTGAGCTGCGTTATATCATGGACATGAAGCTGGAGCAGGAGCGGTGCCCGGAAGACAACAAACAGGACAAACCCCCCGGAAAAGACCAAGCGTGAACAGTAGGCCGACGAATAGAATAACGAAGTTTAAGAAACTATAGCTACCTACCTCACTGAGCTCCCCAAACCAGACATACACGAACAAGTAGTACGTACAGGATTGGAGAGAAGTGACACGACGTAAGTTGCCCAAAGTGGCTGAAATATAACGAGTAATACTATTTGTACAACGACATATCGCTATTCGTACAAAGGCCCCATTTTTAAGATACGTACTGACACCAGCCCGCCCCGCCTATTTATACCGCGCCCGCATGGCAGGTAGCGGTACCGCCTAAACGCCCGCGCCCCCGCCCGCCCACACTCATACACACACATAAGAGGCAATAAAGGCCATATAACGCATGACTCTTAATTCGGTCAAATAACGCATTTCCGGGCCTTGAGCTCGAAGTTGCAATAATCGGCCCGTTAATTAATCCGGCTCCTCCTCTAGCCCTTACGGCTATGTGGGCGGCGGCGGCGGCGCCGCCTTAATTGCATCCCACTCAACGATCCCTCTAACGCCTGACGAAGCTGGCTGCCCTAACGAAGCCGGCGGCGCGCCCCTCCTGCCGCGTCCTCCTCTTAATCCCCTTCCCCTTATATTTCCTCGGGCAGTCGATCCTTATTGTAACGCTGTGAGAGATCGCGGACTATAGCTAAGTTCGTCGATTTCGTTGTGCCCCCGGCGCCTTCGAATGCTTGCGTTAAGCCGCCTTGAGCTGGCCTGACTCGAATTAGGTGCTGTTATGATGCCGTTACCGTCGTTGCCGCCGCCGCCGCTTGTTGTGATGCCGTTCCTGCGAGGGAACCCGGCATAGGCAGCTTATTATTATAGGGCCGGCCGCGTATAACTATAATAACGTTAGGATCGCGGATTCGTAGTAATAGCTCGTCGAGGTCCTAGAGGTAGTAATTAGTATAAAAACTACTATTAAGGGGGGGGTCTTTACTAATAGCTTCTTAAGCTACTATCGTGCTAAAATATTACGCTTTTTAATCTTTAACTTAGCTTAGGCACCGATCTTATATTACGTCTTCTCGGCTAACTTTTCGAAACTAAGCTTAAAATATAAAAAAAGTATACGCTAAGAACCCTCGTAAATAGCGTATTACGCCCCCCTAAGTATAGCCTCGCGTAGCTACTAGCGGGTGCGTAATATACTACTAAAGATTATAAATTAAGCGAGGTTCTCTTTTATATAGGTAGAAAACTCTTCCCTGCCCTCGCTAACTAAGAGTATATACCCCCCGTTAATAGGACCTAGCCTAGACCCGACCTAGGACCCTAGCCTAAGCTTAAGAAGGGCCCCTACCCCCCTTAACCTAAGGGCCGAAATAAGTACCCTAGAGGCTAAGGCTTACTTAAGAGAAGCTTTAGAATACTAATACCTTTTAAAGACCTTAGAAGAAAGGCTTAAGGCCTAAGACTAAGATTAAAAGGATATAGAGATAAAAGATAATACCTAGCTTATACTAAAGACTAGCCTCTTTAAACCTAGCTTAGCCCTACCTTAAGATAGCTACTTCTAGCTTAACTAGCGTCTAAAGTAAGTAAAGGGGTAAAAGAGAGTTAGCTTTAGTAGCCCTATTAGCCTTATGCCTATCTAACCTATATTTTAATACTTATAATAGACCTAGCCCTAGCCTTAATACCCTTTCCCTAGGGACCGGGGCTAGGGCTTCCTTTAGTAAGCCTTCTAAGCTCTTAAGGAAGCTTAAAAAATCGAACCTTTTTATAAAACCCTTATAAAAGGACTCGAAAAGGCAGCTATAGGGACCTTAGACCGCTAACAGCCCCTATAATAGCCCTTATACTAGCCTAAGGCCACTTAATAGCCTAAGGCTACTTAAGGAAACCTTAAAAGTAGTTCGTATACTAAGGTTACTATAAAATAAGCGCCGAAGGCCCTAGTAAAGGCCCTAGCTAAGGCCTTAGTAAAGGCCCTAGCTAAAAGAAATATAAAAGAGAACTTTTAACTTATCCTAAAGCTAAAAAAGGGATCGCTAACGCTAACTATTAGCCTTATTACTCTTTATAACGAGCTTAATAAGACTATAAGGGAACTAGCTATATTAGCTCTATTAACTTTAAATAAAGGTAATATAGTTATAATAATAAAGGCCCTTTATATGGTAAAGAAGCTTTTAAAGTAGTAGGATAAGTAGTTTTTATACCTTAAGGAGCTACCTATTAAATCGGCTAACCTTTTTACTAGCTAGACTAAGCTAGTAGCCTAAAGCGTCCCTAACCTATTAAAGACTCCTATCCTTAATATCTTCGCTATATAAGCTAAGACCTTTAGTAGGATCGATATCCTAGGGCAGCCTATAAAGCTAGGCACCCTAGGCTTAATATAGAAAGTAGGATCTATTATCTTTAAAGTCCCTTTAAAGGCTATATAGGCTAAATACTAGAAAAAAGGCCTTTATATAATAGGTATATAAATTTAAGTCGAGGCTTATAAGGAATATTATAAGGGAATATATATTATAGTATAATTAGCTAGGTAGTAGAGATAGCTAGAGGTACTACGCTATATATATAATATTCTCCTTATTATAAGACTAAAGCTTATAAGAAGAGAGATTTCTCCTTTTTAGTTAAAGTAGCGAGTAGTCTATAATATATAAGCGGGGTAGGTAGAATTCCCTACTAATACCCTACTAATATATTAGTACTACGTACCTAAGTACTTTATTAGCCTATACCTCCTAGTAGCTCTCTTATAAATATACTATATATATATAGTATTATAGGTACCTTTCTTTTAGCTATAACCTTTAAACCTACTAGTAGCTTATTAAGTATACCTTTTACTTAGAAAAGCACTTAACTAAGGACTATAACTATATTAGCTCTAAGGCTCGCTAAAGCTACTCTTACTTTAAGGTCTAATACTATAACTATAAAGGAGAGCACCTTACTATTAATAAGGTATAATATAGAGTTAATAAGGGAATAACTAATACTTAATAGCCTTAGCCCCCTTATACCTATAAGGCCCTTAAGGCCCCTTAAGCCCCCTATACTTAACTATAACCCTATTAGTAATATATAGTATAATACTATAAGAATATACCCCTATATTACTATTTTACTATTATAAAGAAATAATAGGTATAGGGAGGCTTTATAAAATAAGCTAGTAGAAAGAGGCTTTATAATATAGTCTAAGAAAATAACCTTTAAAGATAAAAGACCTTTATTAGATATCTATAGCTTTATTTAAGAAAGGTAGGTCGAGATAAGCCTATCTTAGTAAATAGGAATATATATAAAATATATAAGTTAACTATAAGTAGACCGGATACCCTATTACTTATTTTAGCTTAGCGGTTTTAAAGATATCCGCGATATAAGAATAGGTAGGGTATAGAATATTCTAGTTAAATCTACTACTTATACTAGAACCTATAGTTTTACGTTAACTATTAAGATATAATCTAACTACCTACTAAGTCCGAAGGATATACTATAGATAGAACTTTTTAAGCGCTATAGAATACGCTAGAATGCTAACTAATTAGTCTACTAGTAAGCGAGTAATAGTCTATAAAGGATAAAGGATTTCCCTAAAAGTAGGAGTAAGTATAAGTAAGTTTATAAGTATCTTTTATAATACTATTCTATTAATATATTATTTAGCTTCTTATATACTTATTATAAATACCGGACGAAATCCTACCTTATACTTCCTCGACCGCTCCTTATACTTTTATTATTTATTACTTAATCCTATGCTTATTACTTATACCTAATAATATAAATATAGCGATACTAAAAAAGAGGCCTTATAATAAATCTAAGCCTTAGTAGACTAATAAGCTAACCTTCTTTTAGAAAGCCCTAAGCCTAGCCTAATAGGCTATAAGAAGGTATAAGTAATAAGCGTAGAATCGGGTAATCGATAACGTAAGCGGAAAGATCGGTCGAAGGAGTATAGGGTAGGATTTCGTCCGGAATTTATAACGAGTATATAAGGGGCTAAATAATATATTAAAAGAATAGCGTTATAAAAGATACTTACGAACTTACTTATTTTATCTACTACTCCGAGGGAAATCCTTCGTCCTTTATAGACCATTGCTCGCCTACTAGTAGACTAATTAGTTAGCTTTCTAGTACATTCTATAGTGCTTAAAAAGCTCTATCTATAGTATATCTTCCTAACTTAGTAGGTGGTCTAATTATAGCGTGATGGTTAACGTAAGACTATAGGTTCTAGCATAAGTAGTAGATTTAACTAGAATGTTCTATGCCCTACCTATTCTCGTATCGCGGATATCTTCGGAACCGCTAGGCTAAAATAGGCAATAGGATATCCGTTCTGCTCGTAATTAACTTATGCATAAAATGCATATTTTTATTTATAAGGATAGGCTTATCCTAACCCGCTTTTCCTAGAGGAAGGTATAGATATCTAGTAGAGGTCTTTATCTTTTAAGGGTTATTCCCTTAGACTATATTATAGAGCCTCTTTTTACTAGCTTATTCTATAAAGCCTCCCTATGCCTATTATTTCTTTATAATAGTAAAATAGGAATATAAGGGTATATTCTTATATTTTATAAAATAAGGTTAGAAAATAAGCTTATTAAGGTATATTATAAGAACCTAGGGCCCTTAATTAAAGTAGCTAATATAAACCTATTCGCGATACTAAGGGTCTTAAAGGACGGACTTAGCTAGGAAGCCTTAGCCCTTAAGGCTTAGACCCCTTATATTACGGAGTAGGTAGAGGTATAGGCTTAGGTGCGGTCTATTAAAAGAAGGTTAATAATCTATAAGGGGGAAAAAGAAGAGAAGTACGGGCCTAGCCTATATAGGCGCGGAGGCCGCTTATATATAGACTTAGCCTAGACCTTAGTCTAGGCCTATATAGGGCAAAAGCCCTTATATTATACCCCTACCTAGCTTTTAAAGAGGCGCGCCTTTAAATAATACCTAATACCGCGCTTAAGGGGACGGAACCTTTACGCGGACTACGTACGCCTAGTTATAGAAAAAACGT